GGTCACACAAATGTTGTAAAGCATATCAAGAATCCGCAATTAGTACGCAAAGCCTCTTACACAGGACACTGATCTCAGGTGACGCTGGAGACAATACCAGCTTATTCTAAACATTTAAATTCCTTTTCCTGCTCATCCGAGCTCGTGACATCCTTGTCAACACCAAACCGCAATCTCGAATCCTCAACTTTCGAATCCCATGCTACTGGATGCACTAAATCATGCCAATGCGCAAGAGTACAAGAATTTCATCATAACTCCTGAACCACTAATAGGGTAAACACTTCATCATATAGAAACCTTCTACTTAACTCATTTCAAGAGAACCACTGCAACACGTGACTGAATTCTCATATCCGCAGAAAATACCAACCTCAAGTAGTGGTCTAAACCACCATAACTCTTTCGGGATCCATCTACACATAACATGCCATAATACTTGAATTCCTCCAAATAAAATCAATTACGGCGGCCGTCAAGCCTTGCACGTACCGCCACAGATCACATGCATAACTCAATACGCTGAAAGAACTGATCATTGCCACCATCATGCCAATTCAACCATTGTTAGCTGACCCGTCTTTTCCCAATTTATTCTTAACTTGCCTTAGAAATAATAATAGCTCCAATCATTACATCACGAACCTAATTCCGCACTCATCCTGAGTGACCTTATTTCATGAGACCACACTATCTCAAATCCCACGAACCATCACATACCCTCTTTGTGCGCATGTTCGCATCTTCAACTGGTACACCTATTCTAGAAAATCCCTCTATGAATCCGAAGTTATTTTCTTCCATTCCTTCAATGCTACACCGCAACCCGAAGATAACGTAGAACACTCCAAGCCCCTTTCCTAATCCGCTGCAAAAGCTCGATACTTAACCATACTACAAGCTCGAAATCCTTAGGCACCACACTTTAACTTTTGAATCCACTAGGACCGTTGTTGAGAGTCACCCATTCCGACCTGGTCCCGAATATAATCAACTCCAAGGCTTTGCTAGGACATGAACACTCTCTCAACAAGCACCTGGCTGAATCACTTTCCTTGTACATCACATCTACATGAAACATAAACTCTGAGTCTTCCCAAAGCCCGAACATGAATTGATAAGGCCAAATATAGCACACATTGATCAATTTCTCTGCTCGAATTACCCCTTTTGTTCCCTTTCCTTATTCATAATAATTTATCAATATGCCGATAACCAAAAATATTACAAATAGACGACCATGCAATCCAATTGTAGGCAGTGGGACTCTCTCACTTAGCTTGAAGCTACCATTGCATAACTCTAGAACCTGCCAAGATTCTTTCTTCATCATTGACATGATCTTGCACAATCAACCCACCAAATTCCTCGAAACCTTTCAGTTAAACTCTTCATAGCCACTCTGAATCACTAGCCACATGTACATATTCAAACTCTTCCTGAATAGTTAGTAGAAATTCTTCGTAGAAGCTTCATCAACACCATGGGACCGCTAACCTGCTCACAAGAGATAGCCTGCCTGTGGAAACTCCATGCCGACATCATCCAATGCCGCAACACTAGGTACAATTACTACAAAATCGGCAACCCATATGCTACTCTGCCACTCTTCTACTTTGGTCAAACCCTCTCCTTTAAGCAACAACCCGATTTCTGCTTCTCACACTTGGCCTTCTAGAAGCTTAACCGCGACAAGACACTTCCCACACGTTCTTCCTCATTCTTCACTGCCCAGTTGTTGTCTTAAATCAGAATCTACCTCTGTAGCACTTGGACCCATCGATCGCTACCGAATTTAACCTTTCCGAACATCATCTTCCTTGGGCCATCAATACTAGAAGGACCAATTCGATTCTGAAATCGCTACACTCTGTTATCTCTGACAACCGCATCTCAAGAACCATTTCAGAGTACCCTACCCCAAAGGCAAATTAAAGAAGGCCATAACATCGACGAACCTTAACGCGTTCAACAAGGACGATGACACCACATCACAGTTTAAGAACTCTACTATGCTAAAAAATACCAAGCCTCGTTTCTCCATCAACCCAAATCTGAACATTCATAGGCCAATTGCTTTTCCTCCGTCGGAAATAAGATACTGAATCTTGGAACCATGCACTGAGTAAACCTCTTTCTAAGTCATTCACTGCCCCGACACATAGGCAAGCATCCTACCATCACATCAATACCGTGCGATTACAACTCATGAGCATCATAGCAACCTGTGCATAGACTCAAAGCATCTCAGAAGTATAGTTACTGAGCTGAAATGACAGAATATCCTTCCACAAGGCGACGACAATAGCCCAAACAACTACGTAGGGAGAAACATCCCGCACCACATCTGTAATACCATTATAATTCCTTAATTCCCGATTTATAACCAGCGCTTCACGTCGCATAATCACATCTGTTGTTTATTCTGTAATTCCTTAATTCTCGATTAAATGGGAAGGAAATAAAGGCATAAACCTCAAAGGAATCAAATCGCATGATGAGGAATCAAGAAGGGAAGTGATTCTAACAGCCCTGTAGCCTCTCGAAGATAAGTACAGACGTCTCCGTACCGATCTGCAAGACTCTACTAGACTTGTTCATGACTCGTGAGACCTAAGTGAACCTAGTGCTCTGATACCATGTTGTCACGACCCAAAATCCGTTAGTGGTTGTGATGGCGTCGGACACCACTGTCAGGCAAGCAATCGCTAAATAGTTAATTAAATTCTCATTTTAATATTTTGAAATCGTAAATTTACTTCAATTTATCTAGTAAAAGATGAATTTACAGAATAAATAACAACGTTTTCCAATTTCAATACTGAACATCCCATAATCATCCTAGAACCCGGTGTCACAAGTGCATGAGCCTTTTATAGGAATTTAAAATAAAATACAATAACTGTCCGGAATACAAATTTGGACAGGAAGGAAAATACAATACTCTGAAGCAGACTCTGCTCGGAGCGTCATATAGAATGAAGCTAACCTAAGTCCATGCCATAATCGCGCCTCTGCGCCCACAAGGCCGCTAAACATATTTGTACCTGCCCAAAAATGTGCAGCAAGTGTAGTATGAGTATGTAATTCAACGCGTACCCAGTAAGTATCCCGCCTAACCTCGAAGAAGTAGTGACGAGGGGTCGACTTGGACACTTACTATGGGCTATAATTAATATCAGATATAGTAAAGAAGTGAATAGATATGAAACCGGGTAAATATATGAAATAACATGTATAAAATACGTGGCATAATTCCCCTCTTTACAATTTTACTCGAGCTCTCAACTAGCAAGTTCCCTCCGTAATATACATAGAGATGGTGGATTTCATCAAAGAGATGATCATAATTTAAATTAGGGAAAGACCTCAGATATACCGGCTTCTTGCCAATATTACGCACGATTCCATGAGGATAATATATATAGGATATGCCGAGGCGTACGGCCCGATCCAACATAAAAGTAAATTGTGCACTGCCGAGGGTCGAACGGCGCGAACCATAGAAGCAAAGATTAAGATGCCGAGGCGAACGACCCGCTCCTATGAGAGTGTGGTACATAAATCCTGCCGAGGCGAATGGCCCGATCCCATAAGAGTGGTAGAAGGAAATACCCCGCTAGCGAATCATACGTGCGAGCAGTCAAATATAAATTTAAGGAATCTCTCCGCTCGCAGATCATACTTGCGATGCGGTCAAATATAAATTTAACATTAAAATCATATCTCTTTCTTGATTCTTTTCAAAATAAGGGAAATTCAGCTTGTAGGTTTTTAAGAAAATTACCCCGCTTGTGAAACGTATATATGACGCGGTTACACATAGATTTCTTAAGCTATTATAGCATTACTCAATCCTTTTCGAAATTACGAAGTTCAAACGAACCCTTTTAAATCTTACGTTCTTCAATTTCAACTCCTTTCAAAACATTTAATAAGCAAACTCAATCTCGCTCACTCTCAAGGCAGACAATAAACATAAATCAATAACAATATCAACAAGGTATGATGTGAGCCTAAAACTACCTGGACGTAGGCATAGCTAGTAGCTACGTACGGACTCTCGTCACCTCGTGCATACGTAGCCCCCACAAATAGAAGCACACAATAATTTAGTTCATCTATGGAGTTAATTTCCTCTTACAAGGTTAGAAAGGAGACTTACCTCGCTCCGAAGTTCCATAGCCGGCTCCCAATCCATTCAATCAGCTCAAATCGATGCCCAACGCTCCACAACTAGCCAATAATTATGCAAACCCATTAATATATACTCAAATACTCAATATATTCCAATTTATAATAATTTCTAACCCCGATCGAAAAGTTGATAAAATCACCTCGGGCCCACATGCCCGAATTTCAAAAATTTTCAAAGATAAACTTTACCCATAACCTCACAAACTCAAATATATGATTTATTCCCAATTTCATGCCCAAATTCGTGGTCAAAATCCAAAATACCAAATCCTAGGTTTTCTACCAAACCCCCCACAATTTCTACTAATTTCCATGTTTAAATTCTTATACAAACCATGCATTTAACTTGTATTAAGTGGGGATCACTTACCTTGAGTTTCTTGCTGAGCATCTCCCCTTGAAGCTCTTCATAACCGCCCAATCCAAATATAAATAGGAGAAAAATGGGCCAAGTCCTGTTTTAAAGAAACACACTGCCCAGCCCGACCTTCGCACCTGCGGTGCCTTGGCCGCATCTACGGTCTCGCACCTGCGGAAATCCTATCGCAGGTGCGGCTTCAGCTCGGGCCAACATTTTTGCACCTGTGCTCCATACGGCGCATCTGCGCGTCCACTCTTACGTTGCTCTCTTCGCACCTGCGCCTTCGCATGTGCACAAATCTTTCCGCTCCTGTAGTTCTCAGCAGCTTGTCCCCTTCCGCTTCTACGAGCCATTTTCTTGCACCTGCGACATCTAATGGGGTCGAATTATGTTAGATGGGATTGACATTAAAAATTTTAACTTAAAATGGCTGAGGCATCAAATGGGGCTTGTGAGCCAAGAACCAGTTCTAATCAATGATACAATCCGAGCCAACATCATGTACAGGAAGGAAGGAGATCCAACTGAAGGTGAACTAGTAACTGCAGCAAAATTAGCAAATGCCCACAAGTTCATTTGTGGCTTACAGCAGGTTAGGTAACCATTCATGATTCATCTAGTCGGGCTTAGGAGCAAAAGCTAATATAAAAATGCAATAGAGAATTCAGTTTCTTCCTGAGCATCTTGAAATAGTCAATGTGTGATATCAGAGTGTTTCTTTCATCTTCTTTAAAATTCTTTGTAGTACAAGTAGGCCCATGAGTAATTGGGAAGGAAAGAGTAGGCGGGAGGAAAATCTTTTGTGAGATAGAACTCTGCACGTGAAGTTGTAGCTACTAAGCTACAACTCCAATCTTTTGTTGTGGAAAAAAATTGCCGGGAGAAGAGAAGCATAATCATCCTTTAAAGAATGAGAAAAATCGATTTTGGGGAGATTGCTTTTGAATTGTATAAGGGAGAAGGTCATTTTAACTTCAATGAGGACGTCAAAATCCATAAATTTATAGAGTCGAAGCATTTTGGTGAATTCTAGGAATGAAGCTAATTTCTTTACGGCTACATGTTCACTTCCTGATTTTAGGATTAGATTTCACTTTGTTCTTTTATCCATTTAGGGTGTGTTTGGTACGAAGGAAAATGTTTTCCTATAAAACGTTTTCATGGAAAATGAATGGTTTTATCACTTATTTTCCTTTGTTTGGTTGGTGAGTGGAAAACATTTTTCGGAAATTATTTTTCGAAAAACATTTTCCTTTATACCGAACACACCCTTAGTTCAGTTCCATATTCTTATACTCCAATATGGATTCCAGGGGTACGATACCCTAGTAGGGGAGCGGGGTGTTCAACCTTCGGGTGGTCGGAAACATAGAGTCGCCATTGCACGAGCCATTGTGAAAAATCCCAAAATATTATTACTGGATGAAGCTACTAGTGCGCTTGATGCAGAATCTGAAAGGATTGTCCAAATGGCATTATATGGGGATCATATTAAAGAAAAACAAAGAAGAAAATGGAATGTGCTTAACTTTGTTGAAGAAAATGGGAGGTGCCTAACTTTGTTGAAAAATTAGGGAAATAAATCAACACCAAGCCATCTTCTTTGTAGTAGTTGGATGGCATCTCTTACTATAAATAAAGGCCTCCATTCTTCATTTCAATTACACCAAAATAAGAGAGAAGCAATAGAAGTTAGAGAGAGTAATCCACATATTGTAGTCTGTGAGATAAATATTGAGTGTGAGTAATATTGTAGTGAGGTGTTTTAAATAAAGAGTGTTATTTTTTTCAAAATTGTAGTAGTCTCTTGACACTACTAAGTTGTAACATTATATTGGTTATATTGTTCTGCTCGGACATTGTATTTTACCCATTAAAAGAGTTGGTGTCGTTGCTATTCTCTTGTGTTATTATTATTTACCATGGATATTATTCTTGGGCGGGATTATTATTTTTTTCCAACAACGTGGTATCAAAGCAATGGAAAATAATGGTGCGCTATCTTTTCAGTACCCCTGTCTCACAAAAGATAATTATGAGAAATGATGTCTACATATGAAAGCCATTCTTGGCTCTCAGGATGTGTGGGAAATCTTCGATAGAGGGTATGCAAAACCCGATAATGAGGAAGCTCTGCCTCAAAATGAAAAAGATGTCTTGGCAAAGATGAGGAAGAAGGATCAACAAGCCCTCACGCTCATCCACCAATATTTGGATGATGCCATGTTTGAGAAGGTGGCAGATGCTACCACCTCAAAGGAAGCTTGGGGGATTTTACAAAATTCTCTTCAAGGAGTTGACAAGGTGAAGAAGGTAAAACTTCAAACTCTAAGGGTTGATTTTGAAGTTTTAAAAATGAAAGAATCCGAATGCATTTTGNTGGATTATTGTTCAAAAGTGAAGGCTGTTGTAAATCAACTAAGAAGATACGAGGAGGACATAGAAGATGTCTGTGTGGTAGAAAAGATCCTTCGCACTTTAACACCTAAATTTGATTTTGTGGTGTGTGCTATTGAGGAGTTTATAGATTTAGACTCTATGATGGTAGAGCAATTGGAGGACTCTTTATAGGCCGACGAAGAAAAGATCAAAAGAAAACAAGAAGTGTCATTGGAGCAACTTCTTAAAACTCACACATCCTTCAAGGATTATGGAGGTGAAAAGAGCTATCAAGTGAATAGACGGGGACAAGGCCGTGGCAGTCATGGAAGAGGAAGAAGCAATGGTAACAACTTCAACAATGAAGTTAAAATCCACCAGACATTCAGAGGTTGTGGTCGAGGACATAGAGGAGGAAGAAGGTGTGGCTACTACCAAGAAAATAATGGACAAAGGTATAACAAATCAAAAATTGAGTGTTATAATTATCATAAATTTGGCCATTATTCTTGGGAATGTCATAGCAATGTTGAAGAAAAAGCTAACCTTGTTGACGACAAGAAAGAAGAAGTTGAGTCAACGTTGTTGATGGCACTCAAGGAAGAAGACAAAGATGATTGCAGTCATGGTATTTGGATAATGGAGTAAGTAATCATATGTGTGGATGCAAAGAGAAGTTTGTGGATATCAATAAAACGGTAAGAGGTAATGTGTCCTTTGGAGATACCTCAAAGATTCAAATCGAAGGGATATGTATGATTCCGATCTCCTGTAAAAATGGGGACCACAAGTTAATTCAAGATGTTTATTATGTCCCAAAATTAAAAAGTAATATTTGAGTTTGGGCCAACTTCTTGAAAAGGAATATGACATCCACATGAAAAATATGCATCTCTGGCTTAGAGATTCAAGTGGAATTCTAATTGCTAAAGTTCATATGGCTAAGAATAGATTATTCTCTCTGAATCTTAAGACAATTGATGCAAAGTGTTTGAAGGCTAATGTGCAAGATGAATCATGGTGTTGGCACATGCAATTTGGGCACTTGAATTTTGAAGCGCTCAAATCAATGGGAGAAAAGAACATGGTGCATGGGATACCATCAATAAGCCATCTCAATCAATTATGTGAAGCTTGTCTTCTTGGAAAACATGCAAGGAGGAGTTTTCCAAAGGAGGCCTTGTCAAGATCAACCAAGCCGCTTCAGCTTGTTCACACTGATGTGTGTGGACCAATCAATCCACCTTCCTTTGGTAAAAGTAAATACTTTCTACTTTTCATTGATAACTTTAGTAGAAAGACTTGGGTTTATTTCATGAACCAAAAATCTGAAGCTTTTGCTGCTTTTAAAAATTTTAAAGTACCTGTAGAAAAAGAAAGTGGCTATGAAATAAAAGCTTTAAGGTCAGATAGAGGAGGCGAATTCACTTCAAAAGAATTTAATAACTTTTGTCAATCTAATGGAATTCGTCGCCCTCTAACAGTACCTTATTCACCCCAACAAAATGGAGGTGCAGAGAGAAAGAATTGAACGATTCTTAATATGGCTAGATGTATGTTAAAAGCTAAAAATATGCCAAAGAATTTGGGGCAAAAGCTGTATCTTGTGCAGTTTATTTGAACAACAAGTCTCCAACAAAGAATGTTTAGAGATCAAACCCCTCAAGAAGCATGGAGTGGAAGAAAGCAAAGTGTCAAGCACTTGAGAACTTTTGGGAGCATAGCCTATGCTCATGTGCCACATCAAGGGGAGAGCAAAGCTTGACGATCGAAGTGTCAAGTATGTGTTTGTTAGCTATAATACGAGTTCAAAAGGCTACAAGCTATACAACCCAAGTAGTGGCAAGATGGTGGTAAGTCGCGATGTTGAATTTGATGAAGAATTGGCATGGAACTGGGAAGCTCAGGAAGAAATTTCATATGATTTTGTTCTATACTTTGGCGATGAAGAAGAACCAGAGACCATGGAACTTGTGCAGGATACAACTCCACCTCCTTCTCCAACCAATGTTGCATCTCCCTCTTCTCAAGAAATTTCAAATGAACAACCGCAAAGGATAAGGAGTATTCAAGAGCTATATGAGGACACAGAAGAAGTTACTAATTTTGATTTTTTATATTGTCTCTTTGATGATAGTGAACCAATAAACTTTGATGAAGCTGTTGAAGACAAATGGAGAAGACAAGCCATGCAGGAGGAGATCGAATCAATAGAGAAGAACAACACTTAAGAGTTAACAACACTTCCCAAGGGTTATCGAGTAATTGGAGTTAAATGGGTATACAAGGCAAAGAAGAATATTGATGGAGATGTGGAGAGATACAAGGTACGACTTGTGGCTAAAGGCTACAAGCAAAGGCAATCAATTGACTATGAAGATGTCTATGCACCTGTTGCCCACATGGAGACGATTCTTTTGCCTATCTCTTTGGTGTCATGACCCAATTTCTCCCTCTGTGAACCGTCGTGATAGCACCTAGTCTCTACGACTAGGCAAGCCTAACACTTTGCGAAAATGAACCAAAAATATGAACATTAACTACTAACAGTAACAAATATCTACTAAGCAACTGAATGCCACTCGGCATATACAATTATCACCTCTGAAAAATACGAAAAACATTTTTCCAAAACCCAAAAATCCGCAAGTCACAAGCTACTGAGAAGTCTTAATTGTTCTATACATCATTTCTACAGAAGGAAGGAAAAATGAACATATGTGAATAGAGGGGGACTCCGATGATCTGCGGGCGTGGGCATATGTACCTTGAAGTCTCCAATAAGCAACAACGACTGCAACTAGTGATGAGGCTGGTAAGTTAAACCTGGATCTGCACACAAAAAACATGTGCAGGAAAGGGCGTGAGTACACCACAACGTTACCTAGTAAGTGCCAAGCCTAACCTCGGTCGAGTAGTGACGAGATCAGGTTAGGGCCCTACTGGTATAAATATAATGAAATAAGACAGAATGAAATATCGCAATAAAAATAAATACGAAAATCTAACAGGAATAAAATCAATGAAAGACAACAACTCAGAATACAATGACAATAACAGGGAATCTCCCAGGATACCGTCCCGTAGTCCCAAACGTAAATGTGCAGAGGGGATCTACCAGAATACCGTTCCGTAGTCCCAAAGTAAATATGCAAGACATGGGGATCTACTGGAATACCGTTCCGTAGTCCCAAAGTAAATATGCAAGACAGGGGGATCTACCGGACTACCGTTCTGTAGTCCCAAAGTAAACATACAGGACACGTATTTTACTAAATGAAAACGGAGTTTTGCAACAATAGCCCATGTACGCACTCGTCACCTCACGTACACGATGCTCATATATCAAAAATAGTACCAAATCCTAAGGGGAGTTCCCCCACACAAGGTTAGGAAAGCCACTTACCTCGAACCAAGCTCAAATTAATCTGTCACAATGTTCTTTTGACGAATATCCGACTCCGAATGGCTCAAATCTAGCCAAAACCAATTACATAACATAAATATAGCTACAAGAAATTAATCTAGCTAACGAAATCAAAGCTAAGACAAGAAATTAGAAAAACGCCCAAAAGGTTTCCCCGGGCCCACATCTCGGAATCTGGTAAAAGTTACCAAATCTGAACACCCATTCATTCATGAGAACACTCGTACCAAAATTATCCAAATCCGATGTCTAAATCCCACTCAAAACGCAAAAATTTGGTTGGGGAATTTTTCCCCCATTCACCCAACTTTCTCACTCAAATTCCGTAATTAAATGGAGAAAACGACCATAGATTAATGAAATACAATCAAAAACAAGTTAGGAATCGTTACCCCAAAGCCTTCTCTAAAAATCCCTTAAGAAATCGCCTTCTCCCGAGCTCAAAAAATCAAATTTGTGTTATGAAATTTAAACCCTCGAATCTGCCCTTTTCTGCCCAGCGATTATCGCACCTACGGGCCAAGGATTGCATCTGCGGTTCCGCACCTGGGGAATTCCCATCGCAGGTGTGGCTTTTCACTTAAGGTACCTCGCCCGCATCTGTGATCAAGAGGTCGCACCTACGTGTGCGCACCTACGGAACTTTTGTCCGCTTCTGCGGTCCCAGACCGCTCCTGAGGGTTCCTTCACTCGCACCTGCGGGCATCGCAGAAGCGGAACATCCCTCGCACCTGCGATCCCAAACCTACTTCCCATTTCCTCTTCTGCGGTTCCTTAGCAGCTTATGTGGCTTCGCACCTGCGGCCAAAGTGCGCAGGTGCGGTGACACCAGATACTGCAACATCAGCAGTTTCACCTAAGTCCAAATCAACCCGTTAAGCACCCGAAACTCACCCGAGGCTCCCCGGACCTCAACCAAATATACCAACCAATCATAAACACCATACGAACTTAGTCGAGCCTTCAAATCACATCGAACAATATCACAACATGAATAATGCACATATTCAAGCTTAAGGAACTTTATAATTTTTCAAATCTACATCCGATGTCGAAACCTATCAAATCTCGTCCAAATGACCTCAAATTTTACCCATAAGTCAAAAATGACACTACAAATCTACTCCCGCTTCCGGACGATATCGAAAATTCCACTACCGGTCCAAAACTCCAAAAATTTGACTTATGCCATTTCAAGCCTAAATGAGCTACAGACTTCCAAAACACAATCCGGACACACTCTTAAGCCCAAATCACCCAACAGAGCTAACGAAATCGACGGAACTCCATTTTGGAGTCGTCTTCATGCAGTCCCGACTACAGTGCCATTCCTATGTCTTAACCCTCCATTTAGGGACTAAGTGTCCCAAAGCACCTCAAAAACCAAAACGAAACTTCCCGGCAAGTCACAATAGCTGAAAAAGATACGGGGGAAGCATTTAAGTAGGGGATCAGGGCTATAACTCTCAAGATGTCCGATCGGGTCGTCACATCCCCCCTCCTAAAACAATCGTTCATCCTCGAACGAGTATAGAGACATACCTGAAGCTGTGAAAAGATGAGGATAACGGTTGCGCATATCCCGCTCGGTCTTCCAAGTCGCCTCCTCGACTGGCTGACCCCTCCACTGGACCTTTACTGAAGTAATGTTCTTTGACCATAGTTTTCTGACCTGCCTGTCCAAGATAGCCACTGGCTCCTCAACATAAGATAGATCCTTGTCCAACTAGACTGAGATGAAATCCAATACATGAGTCGCATCATCGTGATACTTTCGGAGCATCAAAATGTGAAATACCGAATGAACTCCAGCTAGGCTGGGAGGTAAGGCAATCTCATAAGAAACCTCCCCAGCTCGTCGCAACACCTCAAAGGGGCTAATAAACCTTGGGCTCAGCTTGCCCCTCTTTTCGAACCTCATAACGCCCTTCATAGGCAAAACCCGAAGTAAGACCCGCTCGCTAACCATAAATGCTAAATCGCGAACCTTTCAGTCCACATAACTCTTCTGTCTGGACTGGGCTGTGCGGAGTCTATCCTGAATCACTTTCACCTTCTCCAAGGCATCCTGAACCAAGTCCATACCCAATAATCTAGCCTCGCCCGGCTCGAACCAACCCACTGGGGACCGACACCGCCTACCATACAGAGCCTCATACGGTGCTATCTAAATGCTGGACTGATAACTGTTTTTTTAAGAAAACTCCGAAAGTGGCAAGAACGGATCCTAAGAACCTCCAAACTCCATCACACACGCATAGAGCATATCCTCAAGAATATGAATAGTGCGCTAGGACTTCCCGTCCGTCTGAGGGTGAAAAGTTGTGCTCAACTCCACCCAAGTACCCAACTCCTGCTGTACGGCTCTCCAGAATTGCGATGTAAACTGCGTGCCCCGGTCAGAGATGATAGATACCGATACTCCATGAAGTTTGACAATCTCACGAATGTAAATTCGAGCCAACTGCTCGGAAGAATAGGTAGTCATCACATGAATGAAATGAGCTGACTTGGTCAGCCTGTCCACAATCACCCAAACTGCATCAAACTTCCGCTAAGTCCGTGGGAGTCCAACAACGAAGTCTATAGTGATCCACTCCCATTTCCACTCCAGAATCTTTATCTTCTGAAATAACCCACCCGGTCGCTGATGCTCATACTTCTCCTGCTGGCAATTTATACATCTAGCCACATACTCTACTATGTCTTTATTCATCCTCCTCCACCAATAATGCTGCCTCAGGTCCTGATACATCTTCGGGGCACACGGATGAATGGAGTACCACGAGCTGTGAGCCTCCTGGAGAATCAACTCACGCAAACCGTCCACATTGGGCACACATAACCTGCCATTTATCCTCAATGCACCATCCTCCCAATAGTGACCTCCTTAGCATCACCGTGCTGGATCGTGTCCTTAAGGACAAGTAGATAGGGGTCATCATACTGACGCTCCCTGATACGATCATAAAGAGAAGATCGAGAGAACACTCAAGCTAATACTCGACTCGGCTCAGAAATATCCAATCTCACAAACTGGCTGGCTAAGGCTTGAACATCCAACGCCATCGGCCTCTATGCTGCTGGTAGATATGCTAAACTCCCCAAACTCTCTGCCCGATGACTCAAAGCATCGGCCACCATATTGGCCTTCCCGGGATGGTAAAAAATGGTAATGTCATAATCCTTAAGCAGCTCTAACCACCTCCTCTGACGCAAATTAAGATCCTTCTGCTGAACAGATGCTACAAACTCCGGTGATCAGTGTAGATCTCACAAGAAACACCATACAAATAGTGCCTCCAAATCTTCAAGGCATGAATAATAGCTGCTAGCTCAAGGTCATGGACATAATAGTTCTTTTCATGCACCTTCAGCTGTCTGGACGTGTAGGCAATCACCCTACGGTCCTGCATCAACACCGCACCGAGGCCAACTCGTGACGCATCACAAAAAACTGTATAAGACCCTGAACCTGAAGGCAATACCAATACTGGGGCTGTAGTCACAGCTATCTTGAGCTTCTAAAAGCTCTCCTCACACTCATCTGTCCACCTCAACAGAGCACCCTTTTGGGTCAGCCTGGTCATAGGTGCTGCAATAGAAGAAAATCCCTCAACAAACCGACGGTAATACCCTGCCAAACCAAAGAAGCTCCGGATCTCTGTCACTGAGGACGGTCTGGGCCAACTCTGCACTGCTTCCACCTTCTTCGGATCCACCTTGATCCCATCACTTGATACTACATGGCCCAAGAATGCCATTGAGCCTAGCCAAAATTCACACTTAGAAAATTTTGCATAC